ATTGAATTTCTCAGAACTTTTTTTTTCAATTCTCTGAATATTTGAATTATTTGAATTCTTTCGAGAAACTTCATTGAAAAATTAAAAATAATATTGAACTATGCAACGCAATTCTTTTAAAATTCAATTAATTTTGAAATATTTAAGTAAAATTATTCGTTAAATAATTTATTTATTTTATGATAGTTGTTCAAGATTTAAGTTATTTAAAAAGAAATTATTGTCAGAAATAGAAAAAATTGAAGAATTTGAATTAGAATTCTTTGCAATTTTATAGTTTATGAAGCAAACAAAAAAACACGAAAATTCAGAATTTTCTTAAAAATAAGAAAATTCTGAATTTTTTCCAGTAGTTTTAATTAAAATTTCTGACTTTTCCCTGATTTTCCTGACCTGTGGCAACCCTAGCTGGTATAGTAATATATAAATATATTAAAATGATTGTATTGAATGATATACAGCGGAGATTGATAAATATAATAAAAATTAGAAATCTATAATATAGAAAATTTCAATATGGAAACTAGAAGCGTTTATCTATGTAATACATTGAAGTTTTCTTTCCTATATATTTGAGTGTATAGATTATATATTGTGAATTTCAGTGCGGATGCTGAAAAGTATTTACCGCCGGCATCGCGTGAACGTGACTAAAGAGCTTGTTATCGTAATCGTTGCGCTGGACCAAGAAGAAGAAGAATATTATCCTTAAATCTGGCAAGCCAACACCTAAACACGGTGATCATCGCGCTTTCTTTATAATAAGATCACATCGTACACTCCATTCCGCAAGTGGTGCTTATACTCGTGACCTTAAACCTCCCACCTTTCATCTATACGCGCGATTATAATACACATTTTAGTGATACAATTTCCTCAAAATTTTCATTCTCATATATTTCATCGCACGTTTCGCACCATATATGTATAAGATATTTTATATCCAGTTATCAATTTTTTAATTTCTTCCTCAATTTTTTCCAATTTATTTAGTATTTATTATTTTTGCAAATCAACTTCTATTCTTAAATTATTTGAGATTAGAAATTTCTTAAAATCTTAATTCCTGTGAAAAAATAATGATTAAATATTTATTTAAAAAAGAATTTATTGATTGTTACGAATAATTTTTGTAAATAAATGTAATAGAACATTCTTTTGAGTATCTATAATATTTTTTAGAGTGTGAATAAAAATAATTAGGATTAGGGAAAACGTAAAAAAATTTTCTGGAAATAAAAAAATAGTCAGGGAAAAACAAAATTAAATTCTTATGGCAACCCTGAAGTAGTAATAATAATAATTATTATTATAGTTGTTGCATTAATTGTAATTAATGCAATTATTTTATTAGTATTATTTTATTATTAATATAATTACTAAAAAAATGAATTATAGTATAATAAAATATATTAATAAATAAAAATAATAAAAAGGCGAGAATTAAAAGTTAACGTGAAAGAAGGAAGGGTTGTTTCGACTGACAAACAAAAGAGAGAAAGGGAAAAAACGATGGAGCAGCAAGATCTCACGAGGTATCTCGATAAATCCCATCGCCGGACAAATAACGACAAGCCTCATTACTATAAACACGTCTCGCGAAGTCTGCGTGTGGCGCTCCACGACACGTTGCGTTGGACTCTTCTCTACATTTTTTCTTTCTTTTCTTTTTTCTTTTTTGTTTTTCTTAAACATTTATTTATTTTATTTCTCTCTTTTTTACTGTTTTTTTTTCTTTTTCTTTTTCTTCTTCTTCTTTTTTTGGTATCATTTATTCTTATTTCCCTGCTTGGACGATACCTCTCGCTCTAATCGCGTTCCAACACGCTGAGCAAATTTTGTACCACGGTAATAAACACCGTTGAACTTGTAAAAACGTTTAGTCCTCCTCGCTTTTACAGCTCTTCGCATTATTATACTCTTTCTCTCCTTCTCACTCTCTTCCTCTGGAACAAAATTCAGTTGCAAGATTTTATGTATTCGATTTATTTAAGACAGAATTTTTACTGACGTCTTCTGTGGCTCGTTTCTGTGCGGACAAATAATAAAAATTGAGAAGAGGAATTTTATTTATTGGAAAAAAACAATTGGCAATATTTAGAAATTAATATTTTAGTGAAAGAAATTTTTTTTTTTTTTTTTTTTTTGAGAAGAGAATTTCGAGGAATTGAGATTGAGAAGAGAAATTATTATTTGGAAAAACAATTGAAAATATTTATTATTTTCTCAAATTTTAATAAATCCTTGGAAACAATTCAATTATTTTTTTAATAAAATCTTTAAAAAAATTCAATTATTTGCAAAACAATTTTAATTGAATTCCTTGGAAGAATTCAGTTTCTTAAAAAATTTTTAACACATTTCGAAAAAAATCAATTTTTTTCTAAAATTTTAATAAACCCTTTGAAAAAATCCAATTCTTTTTTTAAATATAGTAAAGTCTTTGCAAAAATTCAATTAATTTCATAAATAGTAAAATTTATGCAGGAATTCAATTATTTTCAAAACAATTTTAATTAAATTCCTCGGAAGAATTCAATTTTTAAAAAAATTTTTAACACATTTCGAAAAAATTCAATTTTTTTCTAAAATTTTAATAAATCCTTCGAAAAAATTCAATTATTTTCAAAATTTTTAATAAAATTCATAAAAAAAAATTTAATTATTTTCAAAACTTCTGATAAAATTCTTTGGAGGAATTCAATTATTTTCATAAATAATAAAATACTTCGCAGGAATTTATATACGTTTTAATAATATTTTTCCGACTGAATTCAATTATTTTTAAAATTTTGAATAAAATTCTATCAAAACATTGAATTATTTTCAAAAATTCTGAAAAAATTCCTCGTAAAAATTCAATTATTTTCAAAAATTGAAGTAAAATTCTTGTAAAAAATTCAATTATCTTCATAAATAACGAAAGCTGCGCAAAAATTCAGTTTTTTACAAAAATTTTAATCAAATTTTTCTCAAAAATTCAATTATTTTCATAAATAACAAAATTCTTGACAAAGGAAGTCAATTGTTTACAATATAATTTAAATAAACCTTCTGGACAAGTTTCAATTATTTTCAGAAATTTAAATGATATACTGTTCCAAAGAATTCAATTATTCTCAAAACAAAACTCAAATAAATAGTAAAATTCAAAAAATTCAATTGTTTTTAAAACAATTCTAATTGAATTCCTCGGATGAATTCAAATATTTTTAAATATTTCCATAAATTTCAATTTTTTCCTAAAATTTTAATAAATTCTTCTAAACAATTCAACTATTTTTATAAATATTATAATTCTTTGCAGGAATTAAATAATTTTTAATCCAATTTAAATAAAATTACACGAAAGAATTTAATTATTTTCAAAAATTTCCATAAAATTCAATTTCAACAAGAATTTAAAATTCTCTGAAAAATAATTCAATTATTCTTAAAATATTTTCAAAAAATAATAAAAGTCTTGTAATCAATTCAATTATTTTGAATATACTTAATTTTAATAAAATTCTTTGAAGAAATTCAATTATTTTCGCAACAACTTTAATTAAATTTCACGAAAAAATTTCATTATTTTCAAATATTTCTATAAAATTCTTGATAACAATTTAATTATTTCTTAAAATTTTAATAAATTGTTCGAAATATTTCAATTATTTTTATAAATAGTAAAATTCTTCGCAATAATTCAATTATTTTTATAAATTTTAAAATTCTTTGAAAAAAATCGATTATTTTCAATACATTAATTTTAAAATTGAAAATATTTGAAAAGAAAAATTACTTTATTATTATTAATTAATATTTTAGTGAAAGGAAATTTTTTTCAATTTTTATTTGAAGCAATTAATTTTTGTGTGAATTTTTGGGGGAAAATTATTTTTTTTCTGTAATTAATTAGAAAAGAGAAAGTTTTAAATTCTTTGTAAGGATTCTTCTAACACGAAAAGTTTGGTCGCGTTGATAAAGTCCATTCCCCTCGAATATGAATCTATATATACATTTCTATGTATAAAGGTTGAAAAGTAATTTATTGTGATCGATCGATAAGTCAATTAATTTTCGAAAGAGGCTAAATGGTCTAATTTAAATTACCGCCAGGGAAACGATATTCAGACGCGAGGGATTCGCCAGGAGTTTCGCACACCTGGCGAATCGACCTGGAAATTCTCTTTTTTTTTTTTACTTTTAGGGCTTTTCGGAAATTTCGCAATTTTTTTTTTAGATAATTAATAATTAAATGTGTATTTTTTTCGAACAAAAAAGAATTCGTCCTTTAATTTAAATTAATAAATATATTTTCTCTAGAAGTTTTAGCGCAATTTTACTAATTTTCTAGTTTAAAATTTTTTGCCATAAAATTTCAGTAGAAAAAAAATTATTCGATATTTTTACCAGAACTTTACTTTAATTTTACTATAATTTACTTAAAATCAGAATTATAATTCTGATTTAAAGAGTCTAAAGTGTAAATTGTAAAATATTACATATTGAAAATATTTAATTATTTAATTATTTAATTATTGAAAATATTTAACTTGAAAAACTTATTTTAGGGAAAAATTAACATTTATAGAATATGATTTTACATTTTCTGTCAATCAGCCTTTGAATTTGCCAATATTGTGGTTTCATATAAAGCCACACTTGATTCATATATATTCATAAACTGACCAAGAAAAATGAATGATTTTATATTTTGTCGACCTACTGAGCAGCCAGTATATATTTTTTCTTTCTTTTTCATCATCCACTCGTTTTATTTATTTCAATTCAAAACCGCAAGAGAAATATGAGAATCGTCGTAATACAACATTTAATGTATATTATGAGTTTTTGTTCAAGTAAATTTTTTTTTCAAAATATTTTAATTTTTCTTTGATTTTATTATATGAACGAATCTATTCAATTAATAATAATTAATAATTATTTGAAAGAAATTTAATTTAATTGGTATAAGTAATAATTCTTTTTAGAATTTGAATATTGTTTGCAAATTTTTTTCCTCCGAAATTCACTGACAAGAATATTGTTTTTTTTGGAGATGATTTTTTTGTTCTCCTTTTGAAATTTGTTTAATATATTTTTGGAAGATTTGATAAAGAGCTTAATGAGGCTATTTAAGGTCGATAAATATATAGTAAATACAGACTACCCTTTGCGCGTTCGTCAACGAGATATATGAAGAGACCTCAAAGGCCCTCGGGGCAGAATGAGAAGGCCGCTTCGTGTAATTTTCCTCAGGTGGGTGGATATCTCATTATTTTGCATTACAGGGTCTTTTATCGTAAAACATGCAGTTTATTTTCCAAAAAAATCGCTTCAAAGGCATTTTTCGCACCGCACTCTTCGATGCACGTTGAATTATAATCACCTGGATGCAATGCACTCGCATCTGAAATATATTAATTAGTTTCATTAATTATCCGTGTTTTGCAAATTATTTACCTAATTATATTTTATTTATTATAATTACATATTATAAATTTTATGAGAAATTATTTAAATTGATTTGAAAAAAGAAACTAAAAAATATCAAATTTTAGTCGAATATAATAAAACAAATATATTCGCAGGAGTAGTTTTTGCTCCAACGTTTCGAAATGTAATGACGATTTTTCCATCGGGCAGTCTATTCAAATAGTATTCAATAAATAATTAACAATAAAATACATGAAAAACAATAGATTTAAAATAAAAAAGTATAAAAAAAAATTACTATGAAGAATGGAAGAAAAAAAATTTTATTGAAAATATCAAAATAATAAAAAATATTCACAGAAAAAATTTTTTTTGGGTAGAATTTTATCAAAAATTTTTTTAAATAAATGAATTCTTTTGAAAAGTTTTATTAAAATAGTAGACAATTGAAAATCATTGACTTAAAGAAAATTTTTTAAAATAATAGAAATTTTGCCAAAAGTTTTATTAAAATTTTTGAAAATAATTGACTTTCATTGAATATTATTATTTTTTATAAAGATAATTAAATTTTAACAAGGATTTATTAAAATTTTTAAACATAATATTCAATTACTGTGTCTAAAACTTTAACTGAAATTCTTTTTAATATCAATTTTTATTAGAATATTCTACAAGAATTCAATTATTTAAATACAAAAATAAATAATTTATTGAATAATTGAATGTTTTGTTAAAATTGAATTTTCATAAAGAATTTTATCAATAAATTTTTAATTAATTGAATTTTTTCGACGAATTTTAATAACATTTTAAAAATAATTATTACATTTTTCAAGGATTTTGATGAAAATTGGACTAAAAATAATTGAAATTGTCCATGAGTTTCATTAGTTTTCAAAATAATTGAATTCCTAAAAAGAATTTTATTATTTATGAAAATAATTGAATTATTGCGAAGAAATTTATAAAAAATGTTTAAATAATTGAATTCCTAGTAAATTTTTATTTTTCATGAAAACAATTAAATGTTTGAGTTGAATATTATCAAAAAATAATTAAAATTTTGCCATGAATTTTATTAAATTTTTTGAAAATTATAGAATTTCGGAGAAGAATTTTATTATTTATAAAGATAATTGGAATTTTTACGAGAATTTTTAAAAATTTTTCAACATAATTGAATTTTTGTAAAATTTTAATTTTAAAAGAATTTAATTAGAATTCAATTAGTTAAAAAAAATTTTAATAAAATTCTACGCAAACATTTCATTATTTTAAATATTTTTAATGGAATTCCTTGAAAAATGTAATTATTCTTAAAAATAATATTAAAATTTATCAAATAAATTCAATTATTTTAAAAACCTTTGTTACAATTTATTTATTAGAATTTAAGTATTTTATTTTCAATACAGTTTTAATTAAATTTCTTCAAAAAATTAAATTTCTTTAAAAAATTAAATTATTTTCAAAAATTTTAATGAAATTCTTTGTAACAATTCAATTCTTTTCAAAATAATTTTAATAAAATTCTTCATAAAAATTTAATTAATTTCGAAAATTTGTCAAAATTCAATTATTTTCAATGTCTATACTATTTCAATAGAATTTTACAAAAGAATTCAATTATTTAAAAAAAATTTTTAATAAAATTCGTCTCAAGAATTCAATTACTTTTAAAAATAATAAAAATCTTCGCAGAAATTCAATTATGTTCAAAAATTTGAAAAAATTTACGTCAAAATTTCAATTATCTTTATAAATAATAAAATTTTTTTCGGAAATTCAATTATTTTCAAAAGTTTTAATAATATTCTTGGCAGAATTTCAATTATTTTTAATACAATTTTCATCAAATTTCTCGAAAAATAAAATTATTTTTAAAAATTGTAATTAAAATTTATCAAGAGAATTCAATTATTTAAAAATTTATTGATAAAATTCTTTATGAAAATTTCATTTTAAGAAACATATTCAATATAATAAAATATTTATTTTTGTACTTAAATAATTGAATTCTCGTGGAATTTTCTAATAAATATTGATTTAAAAATGAATTTCAAATTATATGCTTTGAAAATTTGTACTTTTCATACTTTTAATTAAGAATTCTGTAGAATTAATTTTTTTTCAAATAGTTTAGTGGAATTTTTTTTAATTATTTGAAGTTTTTAATTTCTAATATATTTAATTGACGAATGTCAGAATAATCGAAATTTCGTGTAAAATTGAATTGTAAACAAATAAATTTGAAAATTCTCAAAGAACTTTTTCAAAAATTATTTAAAAAAATTGATTTAAAAAATAATAAATTAGCAAGTTTTATAATAATATTCTTATATTTGTTATTAGACAAACAAAAAAGACACCAAAATTAAATAATTAAATATAAAAGAATAAAAAGGGGAAAAAATTCTTTTCTTTTTCGACAAAAATAAAAAACTGAAGGAAATGGAAATTTCAAAAGTTCGCAAAGTTAAAAGGCATTGAGAGTGAGAAGAAGAAGAAAAAGAAGAAAAAGAAGGAGGTGAACACCTTATAAGAACTGTAGTTAGCGACTATTAATATCATCGATCTCGATCGATAGTTCTGCATGGAAGGCGTCATAATAATACGGTGTATCGTGACGAGCAGACGCGATCAAGAGAGTACCCCTCAATGTTCGCGTCGGATACTCGCACTTTATATTTATATAGAGGAGTGTATACCTATATAGATAATACACCACCTTATTCAGTACCTTTATTGTACCCTAAGTTGTTTCACAAATACGACGATTGTGTGATGTACACTTTGGGCCAAAGAAGTAGATGTGCTCTCTCTCTCGTGTATAATATATCGACACAATTCTGATTGTAATATGCGAGCAAAAGTGTTATATTCCCTCTCTCAATAACGAGCCAAAATCACGTATACAAATAATAACATGCTATTAATATATTGGCAGAGCTGTCCAATAAATTTTATTTTCCACTATTTCTCATGTCCATATCGCAAAGGCATTCATTAACACTTTCTTCAATTATTGAGATGCACCCTGTAAATAAATTAGTCGGATTTAATTTTCTTAAATTAATCGTTCTGTGAAATATGTATTATTTTATATTTAACTCATAATTTAATATTTATACTAATCTAATTAAATAATGTAATTAACTATAATAATTAATATGATAATAAATATAATAAATATTGAATACCTAATATATTTAATTATAAAATTTAACAAAATTTGAAATTTTGAGTTAATGATAAAAATTTTTAAAAATAAATAAAAATTAATAAAATATTTATTATAATTGTTACCTTATAATTAAATATTTAGAATTGCGAATAATATTTCATCGACTCTTCTACTTCTATTTTTGCCAAAAAATAGTTACTTTCCTGAAAGAAAAATTATTTAATTAATAATAAATTAAAAGATAAATAATTAAAGAAAATAAATTAATTATTAGGTACTAAAATCAATAAAATACTAAAAACAGTAAATTAATAAATTAACAAGTAATTAAAACAAATAAATAATAATTAAATTAATTAACTTAGATTTCACAAGGGCTTTATTTACTTTTCAATCTTCGGTAAAAATAAATGTAAATAAACAAATTTCGCAGCTTGAAATAAACTGTAAGGACATCTAAACATCTCGCGAGGAAACACACAGAGAACGAAATCTGTCGATAAAATATCAAGTGCAGGAAAATTAATAATATAAAAATGAAATAAATAAATTCTCAAGTTTTACGATTTTTACTCAATTTTTAAGAATAAGTAATTAATTGAAAGAAATATAATATAATAATAATTTTATAAATCAATATAAATATACAAAAATATTAATAAATTTATTGTTAATAATTAAATAATATAAATATAATATTAATACTAAATAATTAATTAATAAGAATTTTATTAATAATTTAATAATACAATAATAATAAAAAATTTATATTTGTTCACTAATACATTTTTTTATATTTTAAATGGACTTAAAAAGATTTTATTAATTAATACAATAATATTAATTATTACATTCATTATTTATTACGAAATATATTTATTATTTTTCATAAATAACTTAATTAAATTTTTGTAAATGATTCACAATGATAAAAATCATATTCCAAAAATCAAAACAAAACAAAGTAAACATAACCTCAAAATGACATTTTTTTCTTTTGAACCTTTTGAACTTAAATTAAATTAACACTAAAAAAAAAGAAAACGTAATTGGAAATATGTGCAATACTCTTAGCAATAATGTTAAATTCGTTAAAAAGATAATTGAAAGTAATAATCAGAAACGAATCAAAGTAAAACTACTGTTACCTGTCACTCTGTCAGTTCAAACCGGTGTTTTATTATTGTTTATATTTAAAATGTCTCCCATTTGTTATGAAAAATAACAAAATTTCTCTAAAATACCATCTCGGCACTATAACAATCTTTGAAATTTGTCATTGTTTCCATAATTTTTAATAATATAAAACGTATTGTTTTTTGTATACACTTGTAAACGTTGAACAAAGAACGAACTGTCAAAAAGGACAAATTACTACTTTATCGACACTCCAGAAGTTTTAATGTTTATTTTATGGAAAAAACTTTATACTACTAAATTCTTTTGATAAATAACTTAATTAAGTACTTATAAATGATTTACAATTACGTTATAATAATAAAATCAATAATTAATTATTGCGTTAATTAATAAATTTAAGTGAAAAGTGTTAGTTCCGGGTTTGTCCGCAAGATATAGGTAGATGTCACTCCGAAAAACGGCCGTTTTTCATAGTTTTCGAGTTTTCCACGTGATTCGCTTCCGACGAGACTAGCGCTCTCATTGGCTGGATTCAAAATTGCGCGGGTACTCAGCGAGCCAATGGGAATACTTGAAAACCTAAAGGCATGGGTCGCTCTCATTGGTCTGGTGAGTCCCGCGCAAATTTGAATCTAGCTAATGAGAGCGCTAGTTGTGTCATAGGTGAATCACGTGGAAAACTCAAAAACTACCAAAAAGTGCCATTTTTTGGGGCGACATCTACCTATATCTTGCGGACAAACCCGGAACTAACACTTTTTCACTTAAATTTATTAATTAACGCAATTAATAATTAATTTTATTATTGTAACATACGTGTAAATCATTTACAAGTACTTGATTAAGTCATTTATCGAATAATTTCATTAGTATAATGCAAAATATTATATAAAATCATTTTTATTTTATTTATTTATATTTATTTATTTTATGTTTTTTCTGCGAATTTCCCATTTTTGCAAAGTAATAAATGTTGTTACTTATTTTAATTTTAATATTATAAAATATTAATTTATGTAGTTTTATTTTTTATTTTACAGGATGTGGCATGCGATTCAAGTAGCCCAGCCCTGGTAGTGCTCGACCTAACCTCAAAATGTCAAAATTGCGGTCATGAAAGTTCGACGAGTTCTGTTTTACAATGTTGAATGTGTCTGGAAATTTAATGAAAATAAGCACAAAACGTTGGTGAGTATATTAATCTACAATCGATTTTTCATTTTTAATTGAATATTTAAAAAATTAAATTAAAATTATCGCTAAAAATAATTAAAATCAAGTCAATACATAACCTCAATGAGAATTTTTTTCAACAATTCTATTATTAAATATTTGAATTATAAATGTTTCTATACTTTAGTGTTAATTATAAACAATACTCTAATGAATATCTTAATTCCAGGAATTTGTTTAATAAAGAATGTCAAATACAAAGTGTAAAAGAGAAAATTATGATACTGACAGCAGCCTGTCTACAATGTCAATGTTATCACACAACTTCAATTTATCTAAAACAACCAAAAGCTTCGGAAGTAAAGGTAATTTCTAATTTTTATAATTATAATAGGATATTAGGATAATAGTAAAAAAATGTAGAATTTATTGAATGATTGATTATTGAAATAGAAGAGGATTGATAATAAAAGGAAATCATTGAAATATTTAGAAATCCAAGCGGGAAAATATTCGTATAATTATGGAAAAGAAGAAATCATTACCAAAAGTTGAAGTATGGAAGGGCATTACAATAAATGAATTAGCAACAAATTGTAAGAGAACTGTACAGCAAGTTACACAAGCTTTAGCAATAATTGGAGTAAAAGGAGACTTTCAGCCAGAAACACCAATTGCTGATTTAAGCATAATCAAGGAAACAGTTAACAAAATGGGTCTCAAATTGGAAATTAAATCAAATCAAAAGGAAGAGTCGAAAATTGAAAAAGAGAAGGAGTTAACTAAACGGTAAGGTTTATGAAAATTTTTTAATTCTTTAAAAAATATACTTGAGATTTCGTTAGGAAATTGTAAAAGAAAAAAAGAAATTATGCAAATTTTTTAACATTTTTAAATAATCTAGTTAAAAATCATTATTAACAAATAGAAATTATATAAGGTTTTTTTCTAAAGATATTTAGAATTTTCAAAAAATATGTTTTATAAATATATTAATTTTGTATGATGTTGGTATAAAAATGATGCAAATTATTATTTCTTTTTTCAAAGAAGAACAGAATTTTATTTAAAAATTGTGATAAGAAATAGGAATTTTATAAAAATTTTTCTTCTATTTCAAAAATAAACTCATAATTTATTATGTTTTCAATTTTATATTTTCGTTTTCAATTATATTTTCAATTTTACTTCTATTTTCAAATTTTAAGTTTAATTTATGCTTTCTTTGATGAGTTAACTTACATTTTTTTTGGATTTCTTTTCTAGGCCTCCTATCGATCCTTCGGTATTGATCGCTCGACATCCGGTAGTAACCATAATGGGTCATGTGGATCACGGAAAAACTACTTTATTAGATTCTTTAAGAAACACATCAGTCGTGGATACTGAATTCGGAGGCATAACTCAACACATTGGTGCCTTTAATGGTATAATATCTCAAATTTATCGACTATAAATGAATTTTTAAGCATCTTCCCTCCGTTCTAAATTAATTCTTGAAAAACTTTTTTAACATTTAGGTCCCCAAAGTTCTCAACGTTCAAATGAACGAAATTTATTTATTTCTTCTTCAAAAAAAATTATTTCACAATAATTTTGCTTCACTTTAAAAAAAAAATTAATTATATATAGTTTCTAAATGTAAAATTTAGAATTTTAATGTTTATTACAATTAATAATTTAGGAAAATATTATTAATAAATAATACTTCGTTCATTTGAACGTTCAAAACTTGTGGATCATTAACGTTTGATTTGTAAACATAAAAAAATGAATTTAGTCTTTTGAAATTATATAAATATTCTTTTAAGAAATTCAATTATTTTCGAAAAATTACATTAAAATATTTTAAAAACTAATTCTTAGAATTGTTTTATCATAATTTTCTAAGATTCAATTATCTTGGAACAAAGTAAATAAGAGTTTATGAAAATTTACTTTTTAGACTTATTAAAATTTTTGAGAAATTGTGATCCTGTTTGTAAAAAGAATTTTGTCAGGGAAGGTAATTTTAATGTCAGTAAATTATCAGAGAAATTGATAAACTGAAACTTGTGATCACCCTGGTAATATAATCTTGAAATCTTTAAAATTCTCGAAATTAAATTTTTATTTAAAGATTGAAATTGTTTAAGACTGCATAAAAAATTTTAGTTACCTTAAATAGTGGTGAAAAAATCACCTTTCTGGATACACCGGGACATGCGGCATTTAAAACAATGCGAGCAAGAGGAGCAAACATAACGGACATTGTTGTTCTCGTCGTTGCTGCCGATGATGGGGTAATGGAACAGACACTCCAGAGTATATCAATGATTAGGAACGCGGATGTTCCGCTAATCGTCGCTATCAATAAAATTGATAAACCAAGTGCTGACATAGTACGTATACTTTATTTTACCAAAGGACAAAAAATTCCTTTAGGAACTTATTTTCAATTGTTATTATTTTATTTATTATTATTAACATTATATATTATTGTTTTTTTATTATTAATATTATATATTATTGTTTTTTTATTTATTACATTTACATATTTTTGTACGAAATAATTAATGATTACTTTTGTTGTTTAGGAAGGAACAAAACGTATGTTGGCACAGCATGGAATTATAGTCGAAGATCTAGGGGGCGATGTACAAAGTGTAAATATATCAGCTTTGAAGAAAACAAATCTAGACGCTTTAAAAGATGCAATTATTACTCAAGCGGAGATAATGAATCTTAAGGGTGATCCAAAGGGTCCAGTGGAAGGTGTTACAATTGAGTCGACAACTCATCCTGGAAGGGGGAAGGTAGCCACTTGTCTAATTCAGCGAGGAACTCTAAAGAGAGGAACAATTATTGGTACTTATTAAACTTGGAATATTTTATTTATTGAATTATAGATTTCTCCCTTCTTAGAAAATGTTTAAATCTTCGCTTTAATTTCAATTTCAATTTCAATTTTACTTAAAATACAAAAATAATTTCATTTTAATTTAAATAATTTATTTCAATGTTAAATTAAATATTTCTCCTTTTTTTCAAATTTATCTTTAATTTGTCTTTCGATTTTTCTAGTCTGTGGATTAGTGATGGCAAAAGTGAGAGCAATGTACGATCACGCGGGTAATCAGTTAAAAGAAGCTAAATTATCCGACGCAATTCAAATAATGGGTTGGAAAGATTTACCAGAGGCTGGAGAAGAAATGTTTCAGGTCGAAAGTGAAAGCAAAGCGCAAGAGATTATTCGTCTTAGAGAATCAATGAAAATGGAAAATTTGGCTATTGAACATCGAGTGGAATCTGACAAAAGACTTCAGGAACATCTCGTTGTAAATATTATTTATTTTTTCAAACTTTCAGTTTTTTCTATTTTTTAATAAACTAAATTGTTATAAATTATTAATTAATTATTATTAATTAGTAATTATTATTATTAACATTATTACAGTTAATGTTCAATTTATTATTATTATTATGGAAATAACAAAATTTTTTATTTCCAAATATAAATTTTTGAATAATTTTATAATCAAAATTCAAAAAAATCACTTATTAAGTACATAATTAATTATTATTGTTAATCATTTTAAAAATTTATTTTCAAAAATTTTACTAAAATTCTTCGTAGAAATTCAATTGTTTTCCATACAATTTTAATAAAGTTTTTCGAAAAAAGTCAATTATTTTAAAAAATCTGAACAAAATACTTCAAAACAATTCACTTATTTTTATAAATAGTAAATTTCTTCTGAGGAATTCAATTCTTTCCATACAATTTTAATGAAATTTTACGCAATTATTCAATTATTCTTTTCTTTTATTAATTTTTAATAAAATTTTTCGAAAGAATTCAATTATTTCAAGCAATATCAAAATTCTTCGAAAAGTTTCAATTATTTTTATAAATAGTAAAATTCTTCTGAGGAATTCAATTATTTTTATGAATAGTAAAAATCTTTGGAAAAATTCAATTATTTTATAAAATTCTATTAAATCCTTCGAAACAATTCTATTATTTTTATAAATAGTAAAAATTCTTTGAAAAAATTCAATTATTATCAATAATTTTAATAAAACTTTAATAGTAAAATTATTAATTACAATTATTAACAAAATCGATTATATTCAATAAATTAAAGACATTTTTTGAAAGAATTCAATTATTGTAAAAATCTTTTATAGTATTTATATTATTCGAAGGAATTTAATTATTTTCTATATTTTAATAAAATTCCTTGAATGAATTAAATTATTTTAGAAAATTGTAATTGAATTCTAAAAATTCCATTATTTTCTAAAAACTTTAATGAAGTTCAATAATAATTAAAAGGATTAATTTAAATTATTAAGAAACACGATTTATTTAAAAACTTTAAAGAAATTGTTCATAAAATTTAATTACTTTCAAAATTTTTAATTAAAATTATTTAAAAATCTCCATTATTTAAAAAAAAAAAAAATTCAAAGAAATTCTTCAAAAAAATTTAATTATGGTTTTTAAAAATTTTAATAAAATTCTTCTCAAGAATTCAAAAAGTTTGATAAATAATAAAATTCTTCAAAAGTAAAGTAATTTTGTTTAAACTTTAGGTTTATAAAGAGCAATTGAAGAAAAAAAGAGAATCCGGAAGCCACTACAAACAAACTATGCGAGGGGTGGAAATAAAGAAAGAAGAAAAAGACGATCACCCTAAATTAAATATTTTAATTAAGGGCGATGTCGCCGGCTCTGTGGAAGCTATTTTGGATGTTCTTGTAACTTATAGGAATCACGATTCATGTTCATTGTCAATTATCGAGCACGAAGTTGGTCCCATCTCTGAATCAGATATTGATTTAGCAAAAACTTTCAAGGGTTCGAAATTATTATCAGTATTTTGATATTATTAATTAACGATAGTAAAAATTATTATCAATTTAGTAATTATATTTTAATATAATTATTTAACTATTAAATCATGTTAAATTTTATTTAATTAATTGAATAGTAAATTATTTTCATCGCCAAAGAAACATTAGTCAAATAATTACTAATAAAAAATTTTTTTAAATAATTCAAATGGAAATTTTGTTAAAAACATTTATTCTAAATCAACAGCAATTATCTACTGTTTCAATACGGACATTCCGAAAAATTTGGCAGAACGATTGAATAAGGAGAAAGTTGATGTTCGAAAACATAATGTAATTTACAAACTTGTTGACGATCTAAAGGGTGAAATTAGCAATAGACTTCCGCTGCTCGACGTTGAAGAGTCCCTTGGTGAGTTCAAATTCATTGTAATAAATTATGAGGAACAATTTTTTGAATAATCTTCATTAAAATAAAAAAATAATAATTAAATTTTCTTTTTTACAGGTGAGGCGACCGTTTTAAAAGAATTCGAAATCAATGAAAGAAGGAAAACGGTCAAAGTTGCCGGCAGTCGATGTACGCAAGGAGTATTGAAAAAATCCGGTTTGTACAAAATAGTTCGAGACGATGAAGTAATAAGTAGATGTAAGTATTTTATTTCAATTTTCTACTTTTTATTAGTTTAACTTATTAATTATCTATTTTGCAAAATTACTCAATTTATTCAAGTTTAATAAGTAATATTATGAATTAATATTTATTATTCTAATCAGGGATCGAACTAGGTCCGTAAATTTGCTTGAAGTCCGTAAAAGTCAGTTTTTTTAAAAAAAGGTCCGTAAAATCCGTAATTTGATTGAGAAAAGGCGAAAAGTTCGTAAATTGTACGATATAATTTGGAGAATTTTAGAGAAATTAGATACAAATAATTGCAGAAATTTGAGAAATTCAATTATTATCAAAATTAATAAAATTCTTCACAAAAATTCAATTATGTTCAAAAAATTTTTAAAATTCTCGACAAAATTTCAAATTTATTTATAAATAATAAAATTCTTCTCCAAAATTAAATTATTTTCAAAAAATTTAATAAAATTTTTAGTAGAATTTTCTTCTAAAAATTGATTAAAAATGGATTTTAGTTGAAATTTTCGATTATAATTGAATTTTTAAAAGTTTTCAAATTAAAATCTTTGAAAATCTGAATTTTTCATATTTTTAACTAACAATTCTGTAAAATTAATTTTTTTGAAAAAGCTCAAAAATGCAAATTTTTTTTTTTCGAAATTATTTCAAGTATTCTAATTTCAAGTATTCTAATAGGTAAAATAGTTTCCATGAGACATTTGAAATCAGAGGTGGATTCAATAAAAAAGGACATGGAATGTGGTCTTCGTTTCGATGACACGACAGTTGCCTTTCAACCTGGTGATTTAATAGTTTCCTATAAAATACGACAAGAACGACAATACACCAATTGGAATCCAGGATTCTAAATGTCATCGAGTACATATAAATATACATATTTATATAATTATGAATATTTTCCGAATTTTTAAAAATTAATTTAATTAGGAAAATGAAAATGTTCGAAATAAAAACAAATTTTATTGCGTTAAGTACAAATTTTCTTTTCTTTATTATTGCAGGACTTTGAACTTCTCAAATTAGAAAAAAAGCCTATGACTTTTTTTGGTCACTAGAAAAATATTGTCTCGTATAAAAGAACAAAAAAAAAAGAAAGAAAGAATTTTTTTCTTCGAATAAATTTCAGCGAAATCGTATATAAAAAAAAAAAATTTTTTTCAAGATGAAAAAAAGGATTTAAAATGCAAAAACGTACGTAAATGCGTGAAATCTTCGATTTATTTTGTTTCTCTCGAAGCAGATCATCGTTTAGAAAAAAGAAAAAAAAAAGTTTTAAAAGTGGAATCCAATGGATTTGAATTGCCAAATGAGATCGGGGTGTTAAGACGCATATGTTTCACGAAATCGACGTTGAAGATGTTGATAGGCTGTGAGAACGCCAGTAATTTTCTTTTTTTGCAGTCTACAGGGCGCTGGCTCTTGTATGGGTTTTGGAATTTTTACATCGAACGGCTCAATTTCAACGTCATTGTCAGGATGTACGAAGAAGGCGACTGAATGACGTCCACGGCCAAAATTCTCTGGGAGAATGACACGATGACGAAGTGCTTTAAATTCTCCATTTGTCCAATTGTCGAGAATTTCTCCCGTATTGAGAAGAATTGCTCCTGGTAAATGGCCAACGCGTGACCAACGCTCTCCACTTGGACTCTGAATTTCAAGACCGCCCTCGCTATCCTGTAAATTATATAAATTCATGTAAGTCTCATTTTTTTAGAATTTCCATTCCTCTTTATTATTTTGCAAATTAAAAAATACATTAGAAACTTCAATTTTTGTATAATTTTAGATTCAAAAATTTTTTTAATTTATTTTAAAAAATTTTATTAAAATTCTTTGTAGAAATTCAATTGTTTTCCATACAGTTTTAATAAAATTTTTCGAAAGAAGTCAATTATTTTCTAAAATTTTAACAAAATACTTCAAAACAATTCAATTATTTTTATAAGTAATAAAATTCTTCTAAGGAATTCAATTCTTTCCATACAATTTTAATAAAATTTCACGAAATTATTCAATTATTTTTTCTTTATTATACAATTTTAATAAAATTTCTCGAAATTATTCAATTATTTTTTCTTTATTATACATTTATAATAAAATTTTACGAAAGAATTCAATTATTTCAAACAAAATCAAAATTCTTCAAAAAGTTTCAATTATTTTTATAAATAGTAAAATTCTGCCGAGGAATTCAATTATTTTCTAAAATTTGAACAAAAATCTTCAAAACAATTGAATTATTTTTGTAAATAATATAAAATTCTTTTGAGGAATTCAATTCTTTTCCATACAATTTTAATAAAATTTCACAAAAGAATTTTACTATTTTTTAAAATTTTTAATAAATTTTTCGAAAGAATTTCGCATGAATTAAATTATTTTTATAAATAGTAAAATTCTTCGCAGAAATTTAATTGTTTTACATGCAATTTCAATAAAGATTCTCAAAATTATTCAATTATTCTTTTTTAAAAAATTTTTAATAACATTTTTTGAAAGAACTGAATTATTTTCTAAAATTTGAATAAAATTCTTGTGAGGAATTCAATTCTTTTTCAATCAATTTTAATAAATTTTCACTAAATTATTCAATTATTTTTTTAATAATTTTCTCTAAAGAATTCAGTTATTTTAAAAAATTGTATAATAAACTTCGGGGAAGATTTCAATTATTTATAAAAAAATATTTCAGAAAGTTAAAAGAAATTCTTTATAAAATTCAATTGTTTTTAAAATTTTCAATTAAAAGTATTACAAAAACTCCATTATTTTCAAAAATAATAAAATTCTTTCAAGAAATTCAATTATTTTCAAAAATTTTAATTAAATTTCTCAGTTGAATTCAATTATTTCTAAGAAATATTAAAAAAAATTGTTTGCAGAAAAAATTCAATCATTTTCAAAAATTTTAATCAAATTCTATACAAGAATTGAATTATTTTCAATTAAATATTAAAAATTAATCGAAAAAAATTTGCAGGGTTTCAATTATTTTTAAAAATCTTGATAAAATTCTTTATATTTCAATTATTTTCATGAATAAAAAGTTTATTTGCAAAAATTCAATTATTTTCATAAATAAAAAATTTATTTTGCAAAAATTCCATTATTTTCATAAATAAAAAATTTATTTTGCAAAAATTCCATTATTTTCATAAATATAATAAATTTATTTGCAGAAATTCAATTATTTTTATAAATAATAAAATTTTTCAGAAGAATTGAATTACATTGAATGCAATTTGAATACAATTTCTCGAAAGATTTCAATTATTTTCAAAAGTTTTGATAAAATTCTTCGAAGAAATTGAATTACATATTTTCAAATTTTTTTATCAAATTTTTCGCAAAAATGCAATGATTCTCAGTATATTAATTTAAAAATATAAAACATTTAAAAGGAAAAATTATTAAAAATATGAGAAAATCAAATATTTAACTACAAAGTACGAACAGATTACCGGAATAAAAAAAAATATAGATTCTAATTAAATTGAAAAAGAATTTATATTAAATTTCAATAAAGAATGTTTCTTCCTTAAATTACTAAAATAATTGTTATCCTATTTACAAGTAGAGGGAAAATAAAATTTTGTGTGTAAATTTGCAGAAATTTTCCTTGAAATTTAAACATAAATAATGGAGATAATTTTATTATTTATATTTTATCTCGAGATTAGAATTGCATTTGAAAAATTCTCCCAAGGACTACTATATGCACAAGTAACAAATCTTTAAAACAAGTTTTACATTCGAGAAATATTTTTTTAATTATTTTACTATAAATATGTTTGCAGGTAATACGATGCGTGGATGGAGAGACACCTACGCAAAAAGCGTTTTCCCCATTTGAAAAAGAAGAGATCATAAATCTTTTGTCGACATTTTTACATTATGAAAACCAGTTGCTTACCTGGGTGAGTAAAGTGAAAGTTCCATAATCACAATGAGACCCACATCTTGTCATATCAGGTTCCGGTGCTCCTATCGGCGGATAATACAGCATCCTAAGGGAGGTACAATTTCCTGTACCCATCAAATGCGAATGTTTCGATAAAAGAAAATCAGGAGGCTGTTCCATTCCAATTGCCAGTGCCTGTAGATCGAGTATTTCTCTTTTAGTTTCCTTTTTTCTAAGTCGTATTCGATAGGTTTTTTTTTTTTTGTTTTTTGAGGGAAATTGTCTTCGAAGGATTTTTGAAAAAATGATATCACTTTTAGAAAATTTGTAAAAACGAGTTGAGATATTTTTCAATTTTTTTTTTTTCTTTTTTTTGAAAAAAGAAAAATATGGAATACGATTTGACAAGTTTTCTTTTTTGAGTAATGTCAAAATTTTCTTTTGGAAAAATGGAAAGAAAAACGTACGGTCAGTAGCATTGTTGCGAGTTGTTTAAAGTCTCCTGACAATTCCTGAACTGCTGTATTGAAGCCAGGAACATCCTCCTCTGGAAGTGGACCATTTTCTCCACAAACGTTAAACGAATGACGTACTTCTATTTCATTTGATGATGAAAATCTGTTAATTATTGAATAGCTTCGTTAGTAATTGAAAATTACTGATAATTATTTTTATTTTCAAATAATTTCATAATCAAAATTTTAAAAATTCACTTCTCAAGTACAAAATTAATTATTATTGTTTATATTATCAAAAATTTTAATATAATTCTTCGCAAGAATTCAATTATTTTTATAAATAGTAAAACTATTTTCAGGAATTCAATTATTTTCAAAACAATTTTAATTGAATTCCTCGTAAGAATTCAATTATTAAAAAAAATTTTAATACATTTCAAATAAATTCAATTATTTTCTAAAATTTTTAATAAATCCTTCGAAACAATTCAATTATTTTTATAAATAGTACAATTCTTCGTAAGAATTCAAATATTTTTATAAATTAGTAAAATTCTTTGCAGGAATTCAATTATTTTCAAAACAATTCAAATATTTTTAAATATTTCCATAAAATTCAATTTCAACAAGAATTTAAAATTCTTCAAAAATAATTCAATTACAAAAATTTTTTTAAAAAAAAATTCTGTATGAAAATTTAATTACTTTAAATGCAATTTTTTAATATATTCGTCAAAAAATTGATAGAATTCAATTATTTTCCAAAATTAATAAATTTCTTCTGATGAATTCAATTATTTTGAATATAATTAATTTTAATAAAATTCTTTACAGAAAATCAATTATTTTCGAAATAACTTCAATTAAATTTCTCGAATTAATTCAACTATTTTTTAGAAAATTATTTATAATTCAATTATTTACATAAATAATTAATTTTTTTGCAGAAGTTTGATTATTATCAATACAATTTTTAAAAAATTGTTTATAAAATTCTTCGCAGAAGTTCAATTGTTTTCATAAATATAAAAATTCGTCAGGAGAATTCAATTATTTTTAAATATTCCAGTAAAATTTTTCTCAGAAATTCAATTATTTACATAAATAAAAAAATTCTTTGTAGAAATTCAATTATTCTCATATATTTTTATTTTATTTTATTTTTAAATTCGTTAAAAAAATTTGCAAGGTTTTACAAATTTTCGTTAATAATAAAATTCTATTCAGGAATTCTAAAAAAATTTCTCGAAAGAATACAATTGTTTTTGTAAATAGTAAAATTCTTTGAAAAAATTCGATTCTTTTTTAAAATTTTCAAAAATTCTTTGAAAAAATTCAATTATTTTTATAAATAGTAAAATTCTTCTGAGGAATTCAATTGTTTTTATAATAAATAGTAAAATTCTTTGCAGAAATTTAATTATTCTACACACAATTTCAATAGAATGTATCGAAATTATTTCATTATTCTTTTTTTCAATTTTTCATAAAATTTTGCAAAAGAATTAATTTAATTATTTTCTAAAATTTTAACAAAATTCTTCAAAACAATTCAATTTTCTTTATAAATAATAAAATTCTTTTGAGGAATTCAATTCTTTTTCAAAATTTTAATAAATCTTTCGAAATAATTAAATTATTTTTTAATTTTTAATAAAATTTTTGGAAAGAATTAAATTATTTTCTAAAATTTGAATAAATCCTTCAAAACAAATCAATTATTTTTGTAAATAGTAAAATTCTTTGAAAAACTCAATTATTCTAAAATTTTAATAAATTCTTCGGAACAATTATTCAAAAGAATTTAATTTTTAATTTTAATCCCAAATTTTTCTCTTATCTCGAAAGTTTTTCTTCTCAACTTACTTCTCTTCGCCGGGTTTCACGTAACCGTGAGATGTGCATGGATGAAATTCATATTTTCCTCGATCTTCTTCGGAAAGTTCGCAGAATTTATCGAAAGATCGATAAACAGCTTTCAACTGAAAAAGAACGAAATAGAATTAGAATTTTGCATTTTTTATTCTTTCTTTCATAATTACTTAATAAAACAGAAATGAAAAAAAAAATTTTTAATGGAGAAGACTATTACTTTTTCAATTTTTCTTTGAAGGTAATGAAAATAAGGAAGAATCTTTCTTTGTAATCGACAAGGCTTTCTCCTCTACCAAGAATGATTCATTGATCATTTTTTTTCTTTTTATTAACCTTTTGTCGATAAAACAAAGAGTTTGTGACGTTTGAAATTATCTACTGACTAAATTGTGAATTACTCAAAAGTTTCTCGAAATTCCCCTTTTTTGAAAATTTGCTCTTCTTTTCGTATTCTTTTTTCTTCGATGGATTTTATTTTCTTATTTATTTTTCACATTTATTTTTTATTTTTATTTTTAATTTACTTTCTTCTTATTTTTATTCTTTTATTTTTCTTCTATTTTCTATTTTTCTTTTTATTTTTGCTATTTTTCTGATTATTTTCCATTTTTCTATTTTTTTACTTACTTTTTTCTTATTTTTCTCTCTTTTATTTTTTCTTATTTATTTTTATTTTCTATATTTATTTTTACTTTTTTATTTATTCTCTATTTTTTCTTTTATTTTTTATTTATTTTTCTCTTATTTTTTATTTATTTTTTTATTTAATTTTTGATTTATTTATTTAGATACTTTTCTATTTATTTTTTCCTATTTCCTATATTTTTTTCGTCTTTATTTTATCTTTGAAAAAATGTTGCTGTCTTGAAAAAAGCAACTTTTTCTTTATTTGAAATTATTTCCGTTTCTTTCTTTGGATTTGGAAAATCGTCAGAGTCCAATTTTGCAAAATTCACTCTTCGAGGAATCGTTTGTTTTATCTTTGAGAGCAAAGCAAGTATCAATCATCGTAGATCATAAATAACTATCTATTAATTTGCAAGTTCACTCGACTTTATAGGCCAACATAGGAATTTCTTCCGCAGTCGATAAGTGATTCACTTGCATTTATAAACAATCGATTTTCACTTTAGTGAAATAGATTTTCTCCCATTTAAATAGCTTTTCTTCTCTTTAAATTTAGTAAAAATTTACTTTTCTTTCTTTAGAAATTCAAATTTCCAAAATAAAATATTTTTTCGAAAGGAAATATTGAATCAGTTTTCAAAAAAAAAAAATAAATTAATTAAATTTTAATAGAGAAAAATATTTTCCAAATGGAATTTTTTCTGGTAATAAATTTTTTCTATATAAATTTATAGATATTTTCTAGAAATTTACTCGTTTTGAATTTTCTACTTTTTCGTTTTCTGGGGGGAATTTTCCCTTTATTCTCGATTCATTGAAACATTATTTTTGATTCGAAAGCAAAATTGAATGCTTCTGACGAATTTCGAAATAAAAACAAGAGACCTGTATTTCAATTATCTTTGGAAAAGTGTCTGACAAGAGCGCTAGTGTCATTACGTTACCTCGTGTTGTGATAACGATTATAAATTGTATATGCAAGGTTATCGTTCAACCTAGAGTTGTTATCGTCAAGTCCTTGAAATTCTCGAAGATCCGCCACAGTCTTCACAAAATGTCATATTATTCCCTTATCAGTCACTCAAATTATAGGCATTTATTTTTCTAACACATTTATAAAAAAATATTGTCAACTATTTGACAACATTTTTCTATATTCAAAGAAATTTATTCAAAAACTTTCCACTAATTGCAATTGCAAACTGTTTTAATTCCTATTTTAATTTCTCTTTTTTTCTCTTTTTTTTGAGACAGAAAACTAATATTTTTTTCCATTTTGCAGGAAAGGAAAAACAAAAGATGAGGAAATTGGAAGAAATTTGATGAAATCGGATGAATTTTTGTAGAGGAATAGATAAAAATTGAGGAGAATGGGATTGAAAAATTTAAAGGAATATATACAATGCGACTTTTAAGTATTCAAGTGGTTACCTTGCAGTCAGGAATTCCATGGTTCACAAGAAGGGCCAGTCCCTTTTCAGAAAGTGCCTGTACCAGCTTCGAGCCAACCTGCTTCACTACTGCTTTCTGAGGACACCTTTCCGTTCCTGAAAGAGAAAAGAAAAGAGAAAGAGGTAAGTTAACATGCATTTTGTCTTCTTTATAAAATGTTTAATCATTGGAATGGATTTCTTTTAGAAAAAAATCCCCTTTTTTTGAATTTGATTTTCATTAATTTTTCGAAAAAGTCAAATAGCAATTTCGGAAATTTGCTAAATTAATGAATTAAAATTTAATTAAAAAAGAGGGTTACCATAAATGGCAATTGGCAAATTTGCTAAATTAATAAATTAAAATTTAATTCAAAGACACGGTTACCACAAATAGCAATTAGTAAATTTGCTAAATTAATAAATTAAAATTTAATTCAAAAAAAGGATTACCACAAATAGCAAATTTGCTAAATTAATTTAATTATTTCGAAGAATTTCATTCAAAGTTTTGCAAATAATTGAATTCTTGCCAAAAATTTCATTCAAGTTTTTGAAAATAATAATGATTAACTATTTAATTAGTTAATAAGTGAATTTTTTTAAATATTGAATCGGAATTTATTAAAAAAAAAAACTAGTTAATTAGTTAATAAGTAAATTTTTTTAAATATTGAATCAAAATTTATTCAAAAATTGAAATTGAGGTTTGAAAATGAAAAATTTTGTAAAATTAAAGGAAAGTAAAAATTTTATCTGGAAATTAGGAAAAATGAGAATTAAATTTTTGTGTTATCCCTGAAAAAATGAATTTTTTTCAAAGAGGGGAAAGAATTTTTCAGGAAAGACAGAATTTAGAAAAAAGGAATTTTAACACTGAAATTATTTTCCAAGAGGGAATTTTTAAAGAAGTTCAGTTCGAAAATTTTTTTCGCAAGAAAGAAAACTATTGCATGATAATAGAAACTACAATATTTTTCTTCTGAGATAAAAAAATAACATAGGTACTAATTGTTTACCTATAGGAGAAGTTTCTAAATTTTTTTTCACGTCAGCGTGAATTATTTATTATCTGTCATAGTGACGAATTTATTGATAGCTTTTGAAAGAAAAAAATAAGTCACGGATAATTTATTACAGAAAAATCGTATTGTCATTTCATGACAATGCTCCGATCGTGGGTATCCGTCACAAATAAAAATGTTATCTCCTTGATTTCTTATCAATACGAATAAAATTTCTTCACTGTCAAATATTGTTTAACTAACAGAATATTTATTTTAGACAAAAAAAAATTGTCTTATAATAAATTATCTTGTTTTTTTTTCTTATTTTTTCTCTTTTTTTCTTATTTTTTTTCTTCTTATAAATAGAGAAACAAAATCGTTTATCAACTAATAAAACTTCTGGTTATGATTATTAGATATAAAGTTGATAAATTAAAAATTTAGATGAAGGAATATTTTCTAATTTAATTCAATTTGAATTTATTTTTTCAACTCATTATTCAAACTTTTTAGATCCTAGAGTTTCTTGGCATTTGCATATTTAATCTGATTTCTAGACATTTTTCAAAACAAATGTGTATATTAACAATATTTTTTAAAAATAAATTTCGAAATATTATTCATTTTTAACGGATTATTCGGAATCGATTTTCTTGAAAAAAAAATTATTCTTAATCTAGACCGACGATGATTCATTTTTGATTTCCAGCTGACGGAAAGTGATTAGATTACACAATTTGAAAAATGACTGACCTATTCTTTTTGGAAAATAGTCTCTATACTAAAATAAACATTCTTTTCAAAATTATTTCGGTTTCGCCCAAAACGCTGTGTTCAATTTTTTATTATTATAAATAAATAAATAAATAAATAATACATTTTGTAATTTGTATAAAAGAGAAGTTCTTGTTTTTAAATATAAACTTCAATTTCCGAATAATTTTAAATTCGAAATTAATTAAAAGCCAAATAATAAAAATGAAACGTCGCTTTTTAAATATTAACTTCAATTTCCGAATAATTTTAGATTCAAAATTATAATTAAAAGCCAAATAATAAAAATAAATCGTCGCATTAGAATTGATTTTAAAATTCATAAGATTTAAAAAGAAAAATTACAAGAAAATAAAAATACGAAGTGAATAAAGCGATCGTTTATGAAATATTTTTATTCTGAAAAATATTTTGCGTTTTTGGGAAATCTTTTTACTCTGAAAAATACTTTCTTTTGGAAAATATTTTTATTTTGAAAAAATACTTGATTCCTATTGGAGAATATTTTTATTTTGAAATAAATCTTCTTTTGGAAAATAATTTCGCTTTGAAAAATTCATATTTTTGCAATTTTGTTTAAAAAGAAAAATTAAAAAAAAAAAATATTGATGACTTTTGGAAAAATTGAAAAATAAAACATTGTTCGAAACTGAGATTTCAGTTCAGGAAAATTGAGATTTTTGTACTAAATTGGAGAGGAGTGTATATGTATATTTATAGTTATAGTGGCACAGATAGGCTCATGCTAGACACCGAGTAGACAGATATGCGTAGGACGAGATTCGTTCTTGAATAGAAACATTTACTATACGTATATGAACGCGATTCGATAATAATAGACTGCTGTTAGAATATATATGCTCCTATATTAAATCAAACGAGTAATACGATTATTTTAAACTTCAAACTTTTTCGCTTTTTAAACATTATACTTCCTACAATTTTGCTGCAATTTAAAACAGAATTTTTATCTTCTATTATTTTTTTTTTCTTTCAAAAATATAAATCTTTTATTTTGAAAAATAGTTTCAGAACTATTTTCAAAAATATATTTCAAGAGGAATTAAATTTCTTAATTGAATTTAAATTAAATTCAAGACTCAAAATTGAATTTAAATTAAATTCAAGACTCAAAATTGAATTTAAATTAAATTGAGTCCTGTAAACTAAATTTTAAAAAAATACTTTTTTGGACAATTAAATTTTTTACAATAATTAATTTTAAGGATCTAATTAAATTAAGTCCTGAAAATAAAGTTTGTAATCAAAAAAATTCTCTTTTGGACAATTTAATTTTTTTTACAATTAATTTTGAGAATTTGATTTAATTCAATCCTTGAAAATAAATTTTAAGAAAAGTAAATTGTCCAAAAACGTATTTTTTATAATTTAAAATTTAATTTTGATGATTTGTTCTAATTTTGAAATTCAATTTTCAGGTTTAATTTAATTATATCCTCAAAATTGTATTTTAAATTTAAAAAATACTTTTATGGACAATTTAATTTTTTACAATAATTAATTTTCAGGATCTAATTAAATTACATTCTGAAAATGAAATTTGTAATAAAAAAAATTCTCTTTTGGAAAATTTAATTTTTTTTACAATTAATTTTAAGAATTTAATTTAATTCAATCCTTGAAAATAAATTTTAAGAAAAGTAAATTGTCAAAAAACGTATTTTTTATAATTTAAAATTTAATTTCGATGATTTGTTCTAATTTTGAAATTCAATTTTCAGGTTATAATTTAATTATATCCTCAAAATTGTATTTTAAATTTAATAAATACTTTTTTGAACAATTTAATTTTTTACAATAATTAATTTTTAGAATCTAATTAAATTACGTTCTGAAAATAAAATTTTCACTGAAAAAACTTCTTTTCTGGACAATTTAATTTTTTTACATTTAACTTTGGGAATTTGAATTAATTGAATCTTGGAAATTAATTTTTAAATTAAAAATTTATTTTAATGGACAATTTAATTTTTTACAATTAAATTATATAAAAATTATTTTTTTACAATTAAATTACCAAAAAAATTATTTTTTTCACAATTTTTCACTGTGGAAAAAAAATTTTTTTTTTATATTTTCTGAATAAAGAAAAGATTATGGAACAAATATTGTAAGGCGGTAGTTTTTTTCTTTTTTTCGCCTCGATTTACGGAAGTGTTTGCTTATGTCATTTTAACACGTTTGTGAATTTTTCCTTTTGCTTCCTTCTTTGTTTGCTATTTTTGTTGTATCGTGTTCTCTTTTCTCTTCCGCGCAACCTCATTGTGAAATCAGTCATCTTTGTATTTGTCCTCGAGGCGAGTGGCCAAATGGGATCTTTAATTCAATAGCCTAAAGGCCGTTTGATTTTTTTTAATTAACTCCGAACAATTACTTCTACAAATTGAAATTCGTCTCATTTTCCTCGACATTTTACATCTTCTTCTTCTTCTTCTTTTTCTTTTTGTCGTTTTTCACCATTGAAATTAAATTCAATATTTTCAAGATGTTTCTTTTCCATTAAATTTTTTATTTTATTTATATTTATTTTTCTATTTATTTTTTCTATTTTTCTATTTTTCTATTCATTTTGTCTATTTTTTCTATTTTTTACTTACTTTTTTCTCTTTTCTTTTTATTTATTTTTTTATTATTTTTTATTTCTATATTTTTTTATTTACTTCTATAATAAAAATAAGTTTCTTCAAAAATTATGTTAAGTAATACAAAATTGTTTTGTAATAAAAATCGGAACAAAACAATTTTCTTGTTTTGTCGAGGAATATTTACCACGTGAAGCGAATTATTATGAAATTTTTGTTTTGAATTACTCGGACTCGATATATATAATGAGGGAGAAAAAAATTTTATATTTACAAATAGAATTCAAAGTTAAAGAATAATAGAATAATTGTTTTGAAATCTCTACTTCCTGGAATTGATTATATATTAAATTAATTTAAAATTGCTTTTAATGTGACTGAAGATTATTAAAATAATTTTTATTTGGAATTTCTTTCAAACCTATGTAAATTATTCCAATTTTTTTTCTACTTCTGTGTAAATTATTCAAACGTTTTTATTAAAATTGTGTAAGTTAGGTATTTGATTTTTTTTCAATTAAAAATTTTTTTCATTCATTTTTCTTCCTATGTAAATTATTTTTTTTGACGTTTAAAAATTCTGACGATGGACCATTTTTTACGATTAAAAATTCGATTTGAAATAACGATTGACAATTTTTTTTCCTTTGTGAATTATTTATTTTTCTTTAAGATAAAAATTTTTACCAATTTTTAATTTTTATGATCTTTTTTTAATTTAAACCTATGTAAA